GGGCCCCCTCAGGCGGGGGGGGCGGATCCAGGCGCCCCGACATGGCTCTGCTCAGGGAGGTGAACTCAAACAACAGCGACATTGCTGGTTTGTTTAAGTCTGTCACGCTTTTAGGCACTTTTGGATCAAAAATACTGTGCAGCAGTGCTGAAAGTGCTTCCTGCACTACTTGCTCTTCTTCCTAAAATACCTGCGAGTCTGTGCGGTGCATGTTTTTTTCCTGCTAGACAATGAACGACTGGGCCCCTATAGCAAAGGAGTATGACCCCCTCAAAGCCGGGAGCATTGATGGCACAGATGAAGAGCCCCACGACCGTGCCATATGGAGGGCTATGTTGGCACGCTATGTACCCAACAAGGGAGTCACAGGAGATCCTCACCTCACCCTGTTCGTAGCAAGGCTCAATCTTCAGACGACAGAAGAGAAGTTAAAGGAGGTCTTTTCCCGGTATGGAGACATCAGAAAGATCCGTCTGGTTCGAGACCTGGTCACAGGTTTTTCCAAGGGTTACGCATTTATTGAGTACAAAGAGGAGCGTGCTCTCTTGAAGGCCCACAGAGATGCCAACAGGCTGGTTATTGATCAACATGAGATCTTCGTAGACTTTGAACTAGAAAGAACTCTCAAAGGATGGATTCCTCGGCGTCTTGGAGGTGGTTTTGGAGGCAAAAAAGAATCCGGACAGCTACGGTTTGGAGGACGGGACAGACCTTTCCGAAAGCCGATCAATTTGCCCAACATGAAAAATGATTTCTATGGCGAAGGATCAGCAGAGAAAAGAAACTGGTCTCGTGAGGGAACAAGGGACTGGAGAACAAGGGACCGAGACCATGAAAGGAGCAGAGACAAGCGATGGCCAGAAAGGGAGCGGTCGTGGACTTGGGGTGAAAGTGAGAGAGAGAGGGACTCCAAAGAGGAGAGGAGCAGAGGGAGGGAGAGGAAGGACAGAGAGAGGAAGGACAGGGATAGAGACCGGAGCAGGGAAAGAAAAAGAGATGATGATAAGCACCGATAGGTGACAGTGCCTTGTCGTTGGGGTATGTTATCTACTCTTACATCCACAACATTTCAGTTGCAGGTGTTGCCTTCAGCTTGGGGCTGCGAGCAGCATTCCCAGAACAAGCTGTGGTGTTACTGTCTTGAGCTTGTGTCGCTCACCTGCTAGAATCTCTCTGTAGTTTGGTTGCTAATGCAGTTAAGCTATGTGTTGAATTGTTCTTCAGAGAAAATAAACTTTTGTATTAATATTTTTGAACTGGTGAATGCTGTAAGAAATGCACTACATGTACAGGCATCCCTCTGAAATTGAGTACGCACCTTGTTTGGTACCCATCTGGCTGCCTCGATTAGGGTTCATGAGAGAGCTCCGTATTTAATTACTTATGTGCCACATGTCCGCACTCGTTTAGTGAGACAGATGCTCTTTATGAAATAGTCACTTGTTGAAGACACAGTAATGGAATAGCAACAAACTTAGCTTCTGAAAAATGTGCCCCAAAGCAGAAGCTGATGGGAAGTGACTTTATTTTCTTGAAGACATGGGGACAGGTGATCTCTTTAGTAATACTATGTCCTTAACTAGTTCTGTGAGGTGAGAGAAGCATGTAACAAGAAATCTATTTGTCATGTCATGGGAGGATGTAATTCCTTTGTATTAGGGGAACACACATTACAGAGCAGTAAGCAGGTCAGACAACACCTAGAGTTCCTGATCAGTCCATGGACAATCACTGAAGGATGGCGTCATGGTTAAATGCAGTTGCAGCTGCACCCGCTCTGTCCTCTCCTCCTCTCTGCGAGTGACACCTTGCCTGTGCGGGGTCTAAATCCTGTGCTGGAATCTGGGCTTGCTGCTGGTTGTAGCTGAATTGGGGAAAACAGAGGGCAAAGCACCTCCTTTTTCAGAGTCAGCATGGGTATATACAGACACACATCTTGCGCTGAGGAGCTTACAGTGCTTTCTAGAAAAGGCTTGGTCACGTTCTTTGTCATCGTAAGCCATTCCTAAATATTTGCTAATGTATTTTAAACTGTATTTTTTGTCAGCCTTTGACTGGTCCTATCCTAAACCTTGCCCAGTTTGAGGCTTTATTTCCATGAAGAGTTGTATGAGCCTTTTTCAGGGGAAAGAAGACAGACCATACGCTGCATCCCCAAGAAGAGATGGTATTAGCTTTCCACAAAAGAGAGGACAGAAGTCTTGCAGAAATACTTGTTTTTCAGAAATATTTATTAAACTGTTAAAATGATTTACTGCCCAACCAGAAAAAAAAAAAAAAAAAAACACAACAAAAAAAACCCAACCCAAAAAACATCAGTGATCCTGCACTTTGCAGACAGGATTGTTACGCCCCTTACCTGACAACATCCTGGCCCCTTTTCTAAAAGCAGATTTTACTTGAATATTGAGAAACAATACAGATCTTCAGATCTTTACATACTCTTCCCTACATGCCATCCTTCCTGATGGCACTCGGAGTATATGAACTCAGCATTTCAAATGTGAGAACACGGAGTGAAGTGGTTAACACTAGCAGGTCAGGAGTAAGTAATTAGATTTTTGAGGTAATGGGCTACAGAGATGAGTGGGGGAAGGTTGCACTGCCTAGTGCCATTGTTTGAAATTGGCTGCAGATTTGAACCAACAATAGCGCGCTGGGCTGTGGCGTGGGGGATGAGTTTTACGTGCACTAGGCCAGGAGACGTCCTTTGTAATACACCAGCTTAGGTGCTGGGGAAAACCAGTTCAGTCTGTGTATTTCTGTTATCCCAGTTCATTGCTCTCAGCTGATTTCAAAAGTGATGTGCTTATTCAGACCCTGCATCTGCTGCATTCTTGCATTGTTTCCAACCACTGCATCTCTTCTAAATGTGCCAAATGACTGCAAACTATGCTAGGGAGAGGCATCATTCACAATTTACTTTAACTGCCTGATATAACTGTAGTGTACTTTTTCTTCCCCCTAATATGGAAGTGAAATTGAGATCTTGGCAACTTAAGTATCATTAAATTAAGGCACTCCCCCGATTTAAGAATTGCTTTTCACACAAGGAGGGGAAAGTGCTGCTGTTTGATGGATACAGCTTTCTGTAAGCATAAAACTTAAGATACGTTACCAAAATGTAACCAGGCAAAAGCTTATCTGCCTAAATACTAGCATCAGACAGTACCGTCACTATTTCAAATGCAGATATCTTTCATATAAGGCCACAAATCCCCCCTGGCCCTGAACTGCAATGACACCAGGGAGGCACAGTAAACACTTTCTCTACCCAGAGCATGCAGAAGGTCCATGTTCAAAACAAAGCACAGTTACAGTCAGGAGCAGAGCAGCATTCAGCCCAGCATTGCAAAGAATGGTTTCCTGGCACAGTTTCGCTACAAGTGGGCTAAGAACCATTTGCTGCTCATACACATTAAAGAACCCAGAGTCTTGGATCACCCTGTATTAAAAAACAACTGGCCTGTACTAAACCCTCTAGCTCATGCTCAGCTAGGAGTCATTTGAGACTTCCTCCCACATTTAGTACCTGGAGCAGTTGGAGCTTTACTCCTGAGCATTGTTTCCTGTTCTTAGTGCCACTCCTGAGAAGAGGCTCTTTACAGAGCAGACGTAGTTGCTGGGGTAAGGAGCCAAGAGCAGCTCACAGCCCCCTGCATTAAGCTACATGTGCAGAAGTTGCCTACGGCCTCACCAATACTCCTCACCAACAGCACGGTGCTCCGGCGCGGACTCTCCTAGCATACAGCCAAGTGCACAGAAAGACCTCAGCACCTCCCTCGCAGGGAGCCGTGGATGCAGTCACCTTCTCCCATCCAGTTAAGTGCCTTTGTGGAGCGTGTGGTGCAGAGGCAGGGTGCGTGCCAACACCAGACTGTATGCTACAGTTACGCTGCATGGGGCTTTAGTGTCATGGGTTTTGTAAGTACAACCTCAGGCAGGCCCAAGGGTCCCTGAAGCTCAATTGCAAAGCAGATCTAAATCCCACCTCCTGGCAGCTCAGCTGTGCTGGTCTTTTCTGGCAAGTTAAGCCCCTGTAACTGCAGGCTACACAAACATCAACCAACACCAGTGGATCAGCCTGCACATACAGAATTCATCTGCTCTGCCCAAGTAGTGTTTAGACGAGTCAGAGAACATGTTTGGAGTTGTGGTCATCTCTCCAAGCCAGTTAAAGTAATTCACGTCAGCTAGCTGATGATGTCTTTCACTCTGAAGTTAGGCAGTCTTACCTAGACAGAAAAGTGGAGCATGACTTAATTAAAAACCTGTCTGTGGGAAAGAGACCTAACTCCTTTACAGCAGCTGTCTGCTACTCTAGAGGGAAGTCCCTGGTAAGAAGGAAAAAATTCACGTGTTAGAATTCCTCCTTGTGAGCCATTTGTTTTCCATTAATACTGCAGAACTCATGGCAAAATGCAAGGCACGCTCACCTCATACATCGTTTTCTTCATGCTTGAGGCACTATAAGCAGCAAGGGAAATGTACACTCACTATCCCTCTCAAGGCTACTCCAGTTTATCAATTTGTAACAGGTGGATTTCCAAGAGGTTACTCTGCAAAATGGAGATGCCAGCTGAACTTGACAGGACACAGCAGTGCTATGACTTGCCGCAGAGAGTGGCCAGCTGTCGTAACCCTCTTGAAAAAATTCTTACAGAAATAAAAAGCAAACAACCAATAGTGTTAACAAACAGGGTAAAAGAGTCTTTGCCACTAGATATCGTACACTGCAAACAAACTTCTAATAATGGCACAGGTCCTTTTTTTTGGTTTAAAGAAGCTTGTGTTACTGTAGTTAATACATGAACAAGACCATAGACTTGTTATTCAGCACAAAACAAGTCATCTAGAAGCTTCGATGTCCCAGGGTATCAGCAACTGTTACTACAAAGCTTGGATTCTGTTTTCTGCAAACAGTCACCAAGTCAACAGTGAGGGATCCCTTTTGAAGAGTACATCTGAAACACAACCACCGAGGTGTGCAAGGCAAATAAAAGTGATGAGCTGCCAGATTTGTTTACAGAAGCTTCTTGTTACTAGACTGTCGAGATCTACTGCGGTCAACTGAACCCCTCAAGGTTTTAGTCACAGGTGCTGCAGGGCTTCTTGTCCTTGTTCAGTGTAGGAGTCATCTTTATTTGAACTTGACCATTCTCCAAAAGTATCCTGGAAGTGGACATTTTTCTGTGATGCCTGCATACGCTTCTTATCACGGGAGAAGAAACTAAACCTTCCGGGGAAGGAGGAGTAAGGGAGGAGAGGGAAAAGAAAGAAGACTGTTTAGCATCTTGAAAACACTTCAAACACCCGACACGATACACAGCACAACAAAACACAAAGCAAAAAAATCTGTTTGCATTTGCAAAAATCAAGGCAGTGAAGCCTGATGGGAGTGCATGTCAAAATGTTATTAGAGATGAAGTCATTGCAATCTCAAGCGGTTTGGCTATGGAAGCTTCAAATAAGCTCTAAATGCTGTTGACTCTACAAGGTGCAAGTATCATTTTAGACGTATATTTCCCCTTCCCCAGCCCTGAGATAAAGAAGCAACACGATACAGGTTAGTTTCTTGGCATAAGTAAAGTGGTATCTTTGGCATGAAATCTGTATAATTTACCATAAAGCAGAAATAGAAAGTGTTTTTAAGGGTGTCAGCAGGGAAGTTCATAAGACAAGAAAATAAACCTCCACATTTTTTCCCAGTATACAGATTTTGATACATAGACTTGATTCCTGCAAAAATAAATGAATAAATGCACGTATGTGCACAAGAGTTTGCAGGATGAAGGCTCTAAACAAATGCACACAAGTGTGCACGTCATTTCCTGTCACACGGCTTGGGTGCTCTAAGATAATGACGTACATGAACCAACAGCCATTTAAATACAACAACAAATTGCCAGCTGGCCACATAGCTAAAAAAATACAGTTGGAAAGATCCTTAGTATCATTTCATTTGCATAGGAAGAAGTTACTTGATTAGGCAAACTCAATGTTCGTCATGAGTTCAGTACGAGAGGTGTTAGTGCAGTGTTTAGGTCTGCTGAGAAATGCAAAAGTCGTGGCTCCAGCTACCAAAGGTCTGAATTGGCTGTGTACCCTTTTGGTTTTAATGGGGCACTTTAGGAGGTAAATACTGTTCTGCCTGCACAGTACCAAGCATAATGCAGTTGTGATCCAGGACAAGAACTGCTAAATGCTTCTACAGTAAGAGACACTGCAAATATAAACTTAGCTTTGATAGAGGACGGAGTATTTGTCAGGGCATAAACCTGACTCTACGTCCACGCCCCACCGTCCTCAGCATTCTTCCTCCGCCCACACTCCCTTAAGTCTCCCCGCAGTACCATGATCCCAACCGTCCAAGCCGCCTTGTGCAGACCAGGGAGTTCTGCCTTCGATGTCTCTAGTCACATAGGAGGCTGTATTTGAGTGCCAGATGAGGTTTAAGGCAGCTTTCCTGAAAAAATATCCTATCATATGTGCAGGTAAGCATGATGATAATTATTAAGATATCAAGACTATTAAGAATAATTATTTCTTGACAAGAAAGTGATATAAAAAGCTACACAAGGGCAATGCCAGATAATTAACGTTGCTAGCAGGACCTGAACTTTTGCATTTCCTGGCTTCAAATGTGCAGCCCTAATAGTGAAATAAGTATTTTGCATTTAATTAGCCTCATACTTTTCTACCACCCTTATCACAGGAGCTCATACATTCACACACATATGCTATGTCTTTTCAGGGCCAGATCCAATTCCAGCTGATAAAAGAAGTGTCTAGTCACTGAGGCTTTCTGCTGAGCATGTTTGGTCCTGCATGGTCAGGCTTAGTATCTTGAAGTCCACACAAAGGACTGCTGTATTTATGCAGTAAGTTTCAAACTTCAGAGTTCAGTAATTTTTCACTTTATCATGAAATTAAGTAAGAGAAAAATATGTTCGTAAAATCTCTACATGAGGCAGAGGGGTTAGGCTTTTTTAATTCCTTCTGAAACAATGAAAATTGTTACTATGTCTAGAAAACTCTCATGGAGGACGTTTGGAAAAAGCATGTCTGTGTGGAGAGGAAGGGAATTTAAATACTGTGTTGCTGCTGTAAATATGAAGATCAATAAAGCAGCAGTTCTCATGCAAAGAAACTTTGCATTAACAATTATCAGTACGCCTTCCAGGGACAGCAAATAATAGGATGATAGAATTGTTTACTGAGAGTGTATATTCTATTCCGAAATACATAATTAGAGACAAAATATACAGAGCATAGATAGAAAGACATGGAAGCAACAGCCTATAATTAACACTGGAAATTAATGTAGGTGTCAGCCATGACATTCTGTAAATCTAACTAACTGATTTGTAACAGGTCATTAGAATGACATGGGTTTCTTAAAATGCATTGGTGTGAATTGTGAATAGGCACGCTTAGTAAGCAAAATTAACAGGTGCTGGTTAAAACTGCATATTGCAACAGTTTTCTAAGGAGTAATGACTGGTTTAGCATGGTAATATTAAGGCAAAAGGTGATAAAATGTCAATACTTGAGGATGAGCATGGAGGACTATGATGAGTTGTGTACTGACTGGTCATTCTGATTGGCACTTTGTTCTTCTGTGATCCCACAGCAGCCGATGAGAATGCAACCAGCAGTGCATGTTAACACAGGGTCATGCAAAAGGAAACCACGGTACCAAACATTAAAAAAAAAAAAAAAAAATTCCTACAAGGGACACAAGTCTTCTTATTGGCTGCAATGTGGGATCGTCTGGAATCAATCCAGCTGCTACCATGGGCATTATGGCTGTAAAGATCCTGGTCAGGAAAGTACAGACACAGAAGAGATAAGACTGGAGCAAGGGAAAGAAACAGCATTCCATTAAAAAGAAGAGAGGCAAACATGATACACGGGGTGACTCTGAATTACCACACAGGACATGTTACAGGGAGAGGTGGATCTGCATCACCCAAGACAGCTCTCCTCAGTGAAAAACTCTTATTTAGAAAAGGTAGTCATTGTAACAGTTTAAATTGCTTTTGAATTTCTAAAAGATACCACTTTTCTGTTGTGAGGCAGCCTGCAATCTGGGTTGGATTTCATCAAGGTATTACCACCTCTAGCAATGCAGAGCAGAGTGCACATTTTTCTTCCCAAGAGACAAACAGGCACATACATAATGAAATGACAGATGAAGGTGTATGTTAAGAAATACAAAACAGGACTCTGCTGTGACTACTGGATATTTGCACAGAAAACAGGGTTAGACAGGACCAGCATCGCAGTTAAAGATTTTACAAACGTTACGGTTGATAGTTTCAAGTTAAAAACCAGTATCACAGGTGAAATCTTGAAATAACCTCCTAGGCAAGCTACTTGGTTAAAAGGCCTGTCTATCTGTTCCAAAAGAACCTCCATTGCTTCACATGCAGAAAGATGCCAACTGCAGGCAGCTAAATATTTATTTGAGACCTTGCAACTACTCTAGCAGAAACACTTTCTAGGTGGCTAGCAGCAAGACTGTTTCTTTGTAAGAGTTCAGCACTTTCACTAGGCATTATACAATTCATGCAACGTAGAGGTTGAGAGAGCACGCTGGCTAGGTGCTCTATGCCCAGGCAGCCCCACACAAACCTGCCAACACACCTTCATCCATACCTGGAACACCCTCTGTTTTTCTAAGGATTCTCCTCAGAGGTTCTCCCTTGTGCCAAATATTTTTTTGAACTGTGGACTAATGTCAATTAGAGATTAAGTTGAAATCACGAGAGACATTTCACTTGTGACCAAATGCAGCTCTCCCCAACACAGTCACTCTAACTGATATTCTTAGATTAAAAATGAAAACAAACAAGCACACATTGTTGTATCATTAGCAGTAACTAGGACTTCTATTTTTACGCATTGTGGCACGGTCCGTGAGCTGCAGAAATGAGACAGACACATCAGCTTTTGTAGACTGCAAGAATAGGAAGAAAACTTATGGCTGTTTCAGGCATTACATCAGTCACAAACAAGCACGTATCCTTAAAGAGAAAACAAAAGGGCGTTTTCTGCTCAAAACAGAGGGAGCATTTTTAATCCTTGTACTTTTCCTTCCCAGTAAAGCCTCTTGCTTACATTATTTCATCAAAACTCTGACATGTGATGTGGTAGAGACAAATGTAGAAATCAATCAGTCCGAGATCAGACCTCAGAGTTTGCTCCAAACCTGCAAACTCTGGGAGTGAAACGATGTTGATTTCTGTAACTTCTGTCTTCCTTTCTTTATGGGGATGCAGCACAGAATCACCTGAGCACATCTTAGATGGCACAGGCTACATATACGCATGTCTTATTCCCTGAGATACTGCGTGGTCAAGGAAAAAAGGGCACATTATAGAGGCAAGCATAAAACTTCTCTTGAGAGGATAGCAACACTGTCTCCTATTTTTGTACTTCAGCTTTTTCTTTAATCAGGAGGAAAAGTCTGAAACGGAGGGAAAAGCAATGCTACTTCGTTTGTAAAGGCACTCTGCACGCAGATATCAGCATTTCAAGTTTTCATCACATCATTAGGTATGGAGAGTTTCCGTGCCAGTGCGTTACCAGGTAGCCATACAGCGAGGTGCTGACAGCATCCTGCCGGGGAAGGGAGAAGGGAGCTCTGGGGACAGCTCAGGTAGGGCAGGAGCCGGGCTGTAACGGGACAGATCAGATGCTACACTTGGGTTCTTTGTTTTTCCCAGCAGTGGAATTTCATGTCTTTTTAAAGCCCATCTACAAGTACACTGTTGACAACACACACAGAGAGGAGGGAGAAAAGAAAATAAACCCACACTAGAGAAATCCTATCCAGACAGGCTGCAAGAATAAGACAAACCTGAAAACTATGACCATCCTTCAGGTTACTTAAGTAGATGGTTTTATCTTCCCTTACTTAATATGATGGCTAAATGAAGAGAGAGCAGAAAGAAACCTGGGGACAGAGCATGGCAGCTAAAGAAAGTAATTTCATCTTAACAGCAGCTTCAATACATGCTTCCACTGTCTGGCAGAAGAGGACTCTTGCCTTTTCTGGAAGGGGCCAAAAGAACATGATGTTATGTTTTCTTGTGTGCTGTTTTAGTTATATGAACTTAACACAGAATCTGAGAAACAGAAAGATTAGACAGGTGTCTGAAAATGTGCATTGGTTGAATGGTCTGATGCTCAACAGGTTTTCACTAATCAATTAACTGAGAGGAAGAAAGCACTGAGATAACTGGCTGAAAACACTTATGTGCCTCCTGCCACAGCTCCCTGCGCTGCTTACACATGTATGCAGAAGGCAGGGTCAAAGCTAATACCTCGTCAGCATGTGCTCTGTCTTACAACATCTATTTACATTTTTATGCTGCCTTTGCTTCATAAATCAAGCGTGGAAACTGCAGTCAACACAAACTGCAGAAGCTGAAACCAGCCATCCCCTACAATGGGATAAACTTTTAAAAGTACTAAAATAAATTTAAAAGGAAATAGAAGCTTTACAGTGGAGATCTTGTGAGACAAAGTATTATTATTACAATCACAGTTGCAGAATGAAAACTTAAGCCCAAACTTAAAGTGTGTTTTCTAGTCATGTGAGAGGAAGGGTTCTCTCAGCAAAGAAAGCAGCACAGACAGAAGCTGGAGTCTATTGAAAATAATCAAAAGTGCCCTCCTGACTTTATGGTGTTTTGGATCAGTCCAGATCTTCCAACGGAACTTACTCTCACAGGGCTGCTGCTATTATTAAAGAAGGACTGAAGGCTATGGACATGGGGACAGGATGGAAGAGCTTTTTATGTGGAAACAAATGACTGTTCCAAAATAATTTATGCAGTTAAAAAAGTTAAGCTTCCAGTATCACAAAAATCCAAAGACTTGCTATAAGGTTACAAGACTTATTGTGGAATAAATAAATGTACTAGGAGGGAGTTTCAACAGACAAATGGATTGGCTAGCACTGTGACTTTATAATTAAGTGATATAGTAGTAAATGCACACCTCTGACAGTAAGCTTAGGTTTCGGACAGCAACATTAAATACTTCACCAGAAGAATGTGGGGTTCTTTATAGCCAAGAAAGCTGGCATCCTCTCCAGCAGCAAACTTCTTCAGCAAACAAAAGGTTTTTGTGCTGTACATGTAGCGCAAGTCGGGGTCTAAAGGCTTAGGTCAACAGGGAAATGGGCACAGTGAGGTCATGGGGAAACCTTGCTGTCCACACCCAACTGCTAGAGGTCTGCAGCTGGTTTTACTTGTGAACTAAACTCTTCACACGTCTTCAGAGCATGACCTGTGGGCCACTGGTTTCTGACACTCCACCACCTTAGGATCTGTGTGTTAAGGAACTGGGACTTGCACTTGAACAGAACAATTGTTCCTACAATCCTTGCACACTGAGATCTGGCACTGACTTCAGTTTTGGGGACAAAGCACAGGCTGAGTGGTATTCTGGATAAGACCACCATCACTAGGCACCTCCCTTTGGAGTATGGCTACGTAGCCCAGACAAAAAAATCCTCTAGGAAGATCAGGTGTCTGTGTTTAAGAGCTCACCAGCTCGTACCAGCATTGCAACACATGATCTTTTGGTTAGCCTGAGTAGTGTACTTAAGAAGCAAACATTAGAACTGGAGCAGGCTTCTTGGGCACACCAGTCTGGCCCATAAACAAAAGCAAACGGAGCACTGTTGGACTCCCTGCTGCCGTCTGCACGTAGGGAGCACAAGGTACCACAGGAAATAATCTGAGGCTGAAAGTTGACCCAGAACTAAGCAAAGTTTTGGCCAAAGCCACCTGCTGTTTCATGATATCTGTCAAGTGCTCCCTCAATGTCTCTCACAAATACATTAGGGATGTGGTTATCTTAATTTTTAAATTCTTTAAAATTGTCCTACCCATAAGAAACATCTAGTATTTGCAGACTATATCCAGTATCCTTAGAAAATATGCTACTTACAGTCGTTTGATTCCAGATTCAGGCTGAGTTGAGGGTTTTGACTGAATTATGGGTGTAGGTTGAGGGGATCTAGTTTCTTCTTCTGTTTCCTCACTTAAAAGAAAGAAAAGATAATTAATGTTCTCCTAAGCCACAGAAGCACTTTAAGTTGTAAAATTCAATCTGAGGTTGTACTGGTGATGAGGAAATGGAAAAAGATCTGTTCTACACTCACTGAAATCAATGGGAGATTTTTCTGTCAACCAAGTAACAGCACCTAGAACTGAGTCTCCTTTCAATATTTTCCTCCCATTGTGACAAGGAGAGGGAGAAGAGGAATGCATTGAATAAAAGTTCTAGAATTTTCACTTTAGACCCACTCTTATCCTCATTTTTAAAGTTCAAAAGTATTACATGTTTGTAATCTAAGATTCAAGGGGAAGCTGGGAGTTAGGGAAGAACATAGTTTTTCCCAGTTTTGAGGAAACAGATTCAAACTAAAGCTGTATGCTTGCAGTCTCTACTTTAAGCCTTTGTGGAAATATAAGCTTGTTGGACACAATTTAAGAGCACATTTATTGTTTCCAGAGCTGCCCTATGGCTTCTCTGTGTGTAGTATGCCACAGGAGAGGAGATCTAACCTACCTTTTGTAGTATAAAAGCTCCTCTTGAAGTAAAAACACTTTAGATTTCAATTCATTCCTCTCGTGAAGGACATCTCGGAGCTCCTGCAAGGTGAATCTTGGACGATTCGGATCTTTTAAGTCCATTGCCATCTTTTCTGACTCTGAGAGGCAGTCATCATTGTTTGGTTCTGTCTAGGAAGTGAAATGTGGGCTTTAAATTCACCATGTAAGTGGCATGCCTGAGGAGTTTTTTTCAGTCTAGTTCCTAACCTCTTCCTTTCAGCACTATTAAATCCTCTTTTAAGAGAATCACAGCAATTTTAAGAGGAAAAAAAACATAGAAGGAATTTGTTTTTCATGTTAAAGACTGTCAGAAAGAACTGCTCAGTGATCTGATCACTTTGTTCTTTCCTGTGCTCAGGCTGACTGACGACACACACAGGACTGGTGAGACCATGGCAAGCCTCTGAAAGATGATCTGAGCTCTGGTTTACCTCTCTTCACCTGGTGTTCAGAGGAAGCTTGCAAACGAGGAAGACCTGAGTGTTGTGACCTACAATCAAAGCCCTGCGCTCACAGGAATCTTTGAGAGAGCTACGTGTTTGGGAAAACAAACAAACACCAGTTGTTTCTAGCAGGCCTGAACACAGGGTCCAACCTGAGCCACCTTTATAGGTGATAAGTTTTCTTGTGGAAAAATTCCTGTGGAACCCAGGCTGCCAGAAAGTCCACTGAAAACGTATAGTCCAATTTTTGATAAACAAGTCAGTTTAAGGAATTCATACTTTTAACAAATGGGGTAAACATCAGCCTTTTATATAAACACTGAAAAAAATGCGTAGCAAAGATCATGACAGTTCCTTCCAGCTCCTCCCACAAAGAGTTCTTTTCCTCTGAGAACAGTTCACTGAAAGCTTGGAGGAATTTTACCTCCCATCACTCAGTTTCTGTGGCTCCCAAGAAGACAGAACTTGCACTCTAGGCACATGGTTGGATTCCCAGGCCTGTGGGGCTGCTTCACGTCACCCAGGTAGACTCTAGCACTTGCCCAGAAATATTTGGTCCTAACTAATTGTGAAAAAGTGGTCTGTATAAACACAGCACACAGAAGACAATCGTTCGGGTCCCCTACTATTGTCCCACTCAGTGGCTGCACAGAGCTGAGGACCAGTTAATGAGAAATCACGAGTTTCTGGGAAAGGTACTCAGAATCAAGATGCTGAAAAGCAGCCACAAGCCTTTAGAGGTCTGCAGGGTTTCTAACAATATAAATAACTGCAGGGCACTCTATTCCAGCAAAGTACATTCAAAATGTAGCAAAGTACACTTGAAATGTGATGCTTTTTGCAAGGACCGACTAGAAGCCAGTACATGAAATGAGAGATGCCAGCAGCCAGGTCAGCCATCCACCGTCCTAGTAGGATGCAGAGATCAGTCTCGGAGCTCCTGTGTTGCAGTGACACCTCACTGGGATACAAGCTGGAAATCTGAGGAACTAAGTACTGAAATTCTTAAACAGAGTCCATTTTTTGTAAGCCTGATCCTACCCTCTTTTAAGCTCATGTATTTGTGAAATAGTTTTGCTATCTATTGATATATAATTTCAGGTTAAGCTTGGCTGGGCTAAGGTTGGTGCAGTATCAATTTCTACAGCAGGGATTGCAGTCCTTGTCCTGCAAAGACAAAGCAGCAGAGCAATGCTCACTTGTCCATTTGTCTGATACAACCTATTCATGCGAATGCATTTCCTTACACAGACTACAATAAATAAAGATTGATGCAACCTAACAAGAAGTTAAAAGGAAATTACCCAAACGCTATTCCTCTTCTTCAGCCCTCTAGATTAGGGTCTGAGCTGATGCCTCTTCTTTTGGTTGTGTATTTGCCCCACACCTTTGCCCAAATATGCTATTTTTGCTAGATTTTGCTCAAATCAGCAAAGACCAAGCAGCATGTAGCCAATGCAACTGTACTTCACTGAAGCCTACAAGCAATGTCCTTTCCAGAGCATGCAGCTATTCTAGCTTTCTGCTTGCCACTGCAATTCCTGTCTAACCATCATCCTGGCAAAGAGAGCGGGGAATGGCTCTAATTAGAAGAGCCGCCATTGCCATAGAACTGATGAGTTAGAGAGAAATAAAGAATTCATCCTTTCTTTCCAGAGACTGAGGACATTTTCACTCCTGCTGGCTCCAGGCCTAGGCTCCACAGCCCCATTTACAAAGCTGGGTGTCCTGGCTGAATTAATAGCAATGAAATAATTCTTTTCATTATAATACAGCGCTTGCCCAATGTTAACACAACACTGGCTGTCACATTCCAGGGGGGACCAGGGTACCCCATCAACCTTTGCCTCTGCTTCTTGATGTATATTCTTGCCTACTAGAAGTGAATTGGACGTTTCACTCTCTGCGGCAGTCTATCAAGCATTTACAATGCCGCTTGGTACTGGAGCTCTTATCGACGCATCCAGCCAAACAGCTCTATATGATAGTGCTTCTCTAAGTTCTTTCATATCATGATACTCCTTATCCTATTTTGTACTCTTTTAAGAGCAGCATTAGGAAAGGGAAATACAACACACTTGCTTTAGTAAGACAGAAGTAGTGTCATATGCACAAAAAAATTAATAGGAACCATAAAGAGGACTAAGGGATGCAACAGATCAGAGATGCATCTTTTTCTCAGGAAGCTCCCCTCAAGTTTGCATTCCTACTGCTCTGATCTCAGCACTGACTCAATTGGCAGATTGTCTGTTCCTGCAAGTACTTGAGTATGCAAGCAGTAACATTTGCTTCTCATGAACATTCATGCTAGCAACATTTCACTGCACAAATTCTAACAGGAAGCAAAATCAGAAATAAGGCCAAAGTTGATTCCTCTAAAAGGTGCCTTCAAATATTTATGTTGATTTGGTAGCAACAGACCAGCTCAGTCCGGAGAGATTGAAAGTGCCATAAGCACTGCAAGGACCAAGCGTGCAGAGTTCTGCATTGCCTCTGACACAATTTCTTCTCTACTATGGTTCACATGCCACCACCGTCATAGTGCACTGCACCTTTGGGACCCATTAGGGCTTGCGTATTTGCATACTCAACAAGGCTTAAGCTACTGTCAGCTCTTTATCTTTCAGAAAACCCAGACTGTTTAAGGGATTGTTTTCCTTGAGGTAAGGGGTTGATGTGTACAAACAAAATGAAGCCAAACATACTAATGCAGCACTACCAAAACACTATCTGCCTCCAAAGCAAACTAACAGCTGATACACCAGAGATTTTGGATTGCTTCATGATGTTTTTAATAGAACACTCTCTTTTGAAGCAACGATTTGTTCTGATATCTGCCAAATTCTGCAGCCTAGTGCACAACCCAAAGGTTACACTCCCTAGGATGCACGACAGGTAGCCAAGTCTAAGGAGAGAGCTGTTCTCTAATGCAGACATCCCATTGCTAACTTGTGCCTTCTGTGAGACCGGTTTCCTCCTTTAGGAAGGAGGGGTCTGTTCCACTGGGTCATCATCCACGCTAACGGGGCCTTTCCTGTCACACCGCAATGACTGACGTTGCCCTCTGTATGTCACACCTGAACACGAGGAGATGCTGTCCTCAAGTCCCACCATTGCCTCTGATGTGTATCAATCACATTTATCCAAAGAGGTACTTGGTATGAAGTCCAAAGCTTTTTAAAAGGCTGTTCAGAAAGTGATTTAAAGTGCCTCTTACCTTTGCTTCCTCCCCATTTTGGCTGTCCTCTCCCTGCAGTTTTTCTCTCAGTTTCCCCACCTCTGCTCGCAGGTTGCCCATCTCCTGCTCCTTGGTTTGCAGATATGCTTCTAACTCCACCTTCTGCTCAATCAGTGCCTTCCCCTGAGCCTCAACAACGGTGATCCGGTGCCGCAGGTCATGGTTGATTTTCATTAACCTGTTCTGTTGCTGCTGAAGCTGCAAAACATTGATGCAATAGGTCAGCATCCATTCAGCCATCAGCCATGATGGCCAAGTCCCAAACATCACATCAATGAAAAAGTAGTGGGTTCCTGTTGAATTTAATCTGGAAAATTCTACCCCCTCCTTGCACCCGGGTAGTTTTTTTTAATATCTAATTATCTACTACAGATGAAGTCACCGAAATTTAATTTTCTAGAGCGAAGAGGCATTTTTCCCCTAGCACAGAGAGTTCTCCAGCTAAAACCAAATCCATCACTTCTGATACTATGTTTCAAAAAAGCAAAGTTCAAGGAGAGGGTGGCTTATGGGATTCTGAATCAAATCTTAACCCAGAATAGAAGCGAGAAAGACAAGATTGAGGAATCCTTAGTATTCCATTTATCAGTACTTTGCTTTGAGCTGTCAGGCTCTCTCATAAGGCAGGATGTGACCTGCTGGGCATTGTATGGACAGCACCAATTTGAAAGACCACAGCACCTGCCAGAGGCACTTGAGTAGAGCAGAGATCATCTAAGTCTGGCCCTCACTAGCACCACAAAAGTCCCATGGCCTGAGGAGATGAGGCAGCGCGAGGATGGGAAGCAAAATATGGGTAAGGAGGTCATTCCTCCTGACACAGAAAGAACCAAGACATCATGCGATTCCCAAAGTCACAGTGGAGTCTGTGATTCAGCTAAGACTAAACCCGGATCTCTTGTGCTGTGGTCCCCAGGGCCACCCACCCTCTCAGTGACCTTCTGTTCACTGCTGGCAAAAGCAAGTGACCGGGGCTGGGCTCAGGCCCCTTCCTCCTACCCTCTTCCTGCGCAAAGAGGCAATCCACATTGCAGCCCTGGTGTGGGAGTGCAGCTATGGAGTCCTTGCTGCCAAACTCTACAGGGAGTATATGTAAAATATACAGTAGCCCACTCACCCACAGCGGGGATCTCTGGGTGGGGTGAGGCATGGGGCTGCTGAGGAAGTTTGCATCGCCAAAGCAGAGAGAGATTCAAGAAGCCAGAGAAAGTTATCTGTCCTGTTCCCATGAAAGGGGAGAGGTATCAGGTCTTTAAGGAAACAAACAAAACCACCTGTCCTTCCCCCATCTTCCTCTCTTGTTACACTGGCTTCTAGTCACGTTCCAAGTGTGCCTGGTTTTTCTGAACACACCAGAGGGGGTGTCTCTGCACTGAAGACTGCCTAACCATTTTGGACACTCCACAGCTATGCCGGACACTTCAGTTACTGGACTAATAACCTGGCATTGCTTACAACTTCTACATTAAACTTAAAGCTTGAAACCAGGCTATGGAAGTATGGGTGAGAAAGAGAAGAAATAGGAAGACTAAGAGCCACTTACAGCCTCTACATCCTCATTTTTAAGTCCAAGTTCCCGGTCCTTTGCTCTGATTTCATCCCTCTGTTTATCTACCACTTCCTTCAGCTTCTTCATGACTTGCCGCTCTCTCTCTGACATTCCTGGTTAAAAAAAGAGCACAGAAAACAAACTGAGGACAATCAGGAGCTGCTGAGAGTGAGAAATACTTAGGTAAAGACTCTGAAAGTTGCCTGCTGTTAGAATTACAGAGAAGCTGTTGGACGATGCTTGAAAGGTTACTTCAAGGGTAACAGGGAACACAGATGATACAATCCACTCTGCAAAGTCACTGCACAAAAGCTCCTTAAAAAAGGAACTGACAGTCCTCAGAAACATTTATAACTGTGGAGTGACACTGCTACCTCTTGCTGCCTTGTTAGTTTTACATCAGTGTTTGCTCTATGCGCCAGGGAGCTTGGTTATCTGTGTGATAATCTGTAGAATCAGCTGGCCAAGGTCCTGTGAAAATTATAAAAAAGATGATCTGGATCTTCAGCAAGATCTAAACAACATGTCACTGTTGTGGATTGCATCTAGATGAGGTGCACTGAAGTAGAGTGATTTTATGTTGAAACCCAGTTTTGTGTTGGGTGAAAGAGAGATGAAGGAGGACCTTCAGAGGGCATACCCACCCTGAATCTAGAACAGAGATTTAGTCTGAATTATGGTCACATGCTTTCTCCTCGTGTTTTGCAACCCTCTCCCCATCCTATTGTGTGATAATTCATGTCTAGAATAACTGTACCTCAGAGAAAAATACTACATGGCGTTTTACTTGTGAAAGATGTTTGGAACGTTGCCAAGAATCCAACATTGATCCTGTTGGAAAATAAGTAAAGGATTAGATTAACCTGAAATCTGACCAACGAATCATTAGGAAACATCATAAATCACAAAATGGGAAGCATCCTTCCATTATTTGCCATTCAGAGATAATCAGGAACTGGAACTACAGTGATGTGCTCTTCAAACACAGATCAGATGATATAACTCAGTGAGATGATAAATCTGCTATGCTAACTTTTCCTGGTAACTGCACAGAGACGTGCAGCTTGATGGTCCTAAACTATCACATAAGATCACATTGTACAACATCCCAGAGGATGGCTTGAAGATGAAAGCCTGTGACCAGGGCAGTGTGTGGCTGCTCTGGCCAAAGTCCAGTCCAAGCAGGACCTCAAATCCAGGGTCTACTGCTGCCTTGTTCTATTACCTTTGGCAAAGTACCTAGTTATGCGGGTCCCCAGCTTTCTCCGTTTATGAACTGCGAGTGGTGATAATTCACTCATCCCTCTGGGGTGGCTTTCCAGCCACTTCCTTTTTGATATATTAAAGCAGTTCCCATATCCCACATCAGAAATATGCTGCATACACGTCAAATATATGCAGCCAGTCAAGTCTCTACTTTCTAACATCAGCTCAGACTTTCTGGTTATGTTCTTCCCTCATCAGAGAAATCCAAAGTTGCTCCCATAACAGAATGTAGGCTGCATGCCTTTAGGAACTCCAGCTTACAGATCATCTGCAGCTTGAACTGATGGATAACACAGCAGAGCAAGACAAACCTGAGAGAAAGAGAGAGAGAAAGGGAATAACTCTTTGGTGGATGTGCACTCCTGCAGCAGCTGTGGGTTCCCACGCAGGCATCAAGAGCGTACCACTGCAAACAGGGGGAAAAGCAGCTCCGATCCCTCCTTGCTGAAGGACAAGAGCTATGGTACAGCAGAGAACAGGTAACCGCTCTGCTGGGAGAAGGACCGGTGATCAAGGCTGGCCAGCAGTTTGGTTCAGAGGATGCGTTCCTGTCAAACTCCAGAAAAGAGCTGAGTGACATGCTGTTCACATGCTAGTATTACAGTCTCATCTTTTCTAATTCTGTGGTAAGTTTGCCTGCTCTGTTTCTGGTCCCTGGTCCTTATCATCTCTCTGCTCTAGGTTCTAGGTCTTTGCAGGATAATTTTAATTCTTCACTGTGATAACAGCTCATGCCCACCAGGGAGGATAAGCAGACACTGACACACATTGCTACTTAACTTTTCTAAAAAAGCCACGGTCTCCTATCACAACGCAGGCCTGGACCACCACTGTATGCACAAATCTCACTACAGGTTCCTGGATCCACCCTCTGCAGCCAGTCTCATGGCTGGGGCCTAAAACATCAGCTGTATTTAAAACCAAAACAATCCAAAACTTTGCCTTGAAGTACAGAGGGACTGCAGTGAAACTTTATACTTGTGGTTTCACCCCAGTAGGAGCAAAAATAGTGAGTGCAGCTATATTCATTAGTACTTGTGAGATGCTTTGAGATCTCTAGATAGCAGGGGCTATTTAAAGAATAAAGTACTATTTCAGTGCTGACTGCTTTTCCTCCCACTGTGCTCATTTTTCTCCCTAACATTTGGTGAAGCTAAAAGACCTCAATTGTGTGCACAGATCACTACATTATCATTTTTATTTCAAGAGGAGGGGAAAGGAAAGGTGGGAAGTGTTTCTGAAACAGTCACATCTTTCATTTCCTTAGGCACTGAGGAAGAGGAGAGGGAAATCACTAAGTGCCCTAAATGTAAAGTAATTCTCTCTAAATGATTCAAACTCCAATAACTGCAAGATCTTAAATGGCACACCCAGTTGGCTTCCCTAGGCACATCCTATGAGCAGCTTCCTGTGGACTGCTGTGTTCATAGCATTGTTCAAGCAAGAGAAAGGAAAGCAGCTGGAAAAAAAAAAAAAAAGGAAGAAAAATGGAGGGGAAAAAAAAAGAACATCCTCTATGTTTATGTTGAGGGACCTGTTTGCTGTTGTGTTTACACAACATCTATTACAACAGGCCGAAGTGCCAGCCAGGGCCTGTGGCACTATACTACTACCTAAATACTTAGAAGTGTGCCTCCACTTTGGAAAGGGAATTGTAGGTTCCTCAGCAGCCCAGCACAAGAGGTTCACACAACTGTTGACATCCTGCTGCTTGTCTATATTACCACAGCCAGTCCGAGATAGCAGCTCCCCTCGCTGCACGGAAACAGCAGCCTGCTTGTCCTGTTTGACACACGTTGGGTCAAGTTTGCTTGTGGCATTCTACCAGGATATTCCAATCAGTCAGCACCATCAAGTAGTGCTCAGCTGGAGCTTGGGAGGAGCAGCATTAATGGATGTTGCAGACTCATCTTTAACCAATCCTGTGTGGTTTGCATTCTGCCACATGTCCTTTCACATGAACCCTGCTCTGCTCAGACTCTCAGCAGGTGCCCTCTGTGCAGAACACTCCTGTTCAGACAGGATCGCCTCTGCCTCTCTCATAAACACCTTCATTATGCTAAAGTGAGGCTCTGTGAACTCTGATGTGACTATTAATTGGCAAGGATTGGCTCTCAAAGTCTTGCACGCTCAAATCACTGGCTTCTGTTGCCTGTGCTAAAAATAACTCCTTTAACTGTCTGGCAAGTAAGCAGCAAGCTGTTAATCCCAGGGGCTAGCCGCTAAGGGGAGACATGATCACAATACTAAATCGTGCTGAGATATGAAGACTGGAGTCTGGTCAAAGTTAGTCCAGCTAATAAAGTATTTCGCTTGAAAACCTGCCTCTGTACACTCTACATGTATCAGATCAAATGATGGAGAGTGAAAAAAAGCAGCATGACTGCTTTTTGACACTCTCCACACAAATCATTTGAGATAAATCTATCCCCATTCATTAACAACAAAATTTCCTAAAAGGAAAACAGTTGGGTTTGATATAATAGGTCCCAATAATAACACAGTGTTGCTATAAATTAAAGTGATTTAAGTAAAACTGATGATTTTGGACAAAGAATATCTGTGATCCCAGAATCCGATCTCTGGAATGGGTTTGTAAGTTTTGTTTGTGTTGTTATACTTGGGTAGACACAGTAAAAATAACATGAAAAGCATGCCTGGCATTTGCTTGGCTAGCTGATGTGAAGAGTATGGCTATATTTAAATACAAGGACATAAGCTGCAGTGAGCTGGATACCCACTGCAAGGAAAAGGAAAAAAAAAAAAACCACACAAAAAACCAAAGAGGAAGTTGGTTCTTTATAACAAGATGTCATAGTCTTCATGGTCCATGACTCATCACTGCCATTCTGAAATTTTGCATGAAGTTTGTATGGCTGATGTTGAGCTACTTTGCCATTGATTCATAAATCGAAAGCATTGCATTTGTTTTTAAAAAGTGGTGATCTTGAGGTTTAACAATTTTTACTTTTTGAAGATTTCATTATACTCCTCCCCAGGGCAAGTGAGCAGTACTCAGCCTCTGGGAGAAAGCAAGCGCAACTTCTGCGGTGTTGGACAGTTTCATCCACCTACAGCAAGCCTCCATTTCATCCCAGCCTCCAGTGTCTGGAAAAAGATATCCCTTTGTTCCTAACGCTTTATTGGAGAGCTGCAGTGGCTCAGCTGTGTGGTCTGGTTTTCAGATTGGCCAGAGATGTTGCACGCTACACACAGGATGCTAGCCTTTTGAGGAAGCCATGACTTTACCGATAATCAGAACCTCCTGTGAAAATGGAGCTGTGGCTTGAAGCGCTGGACCAGAGTCCTGTCTATGTACAGAGAGTTCAGAAAGCCACCCACTTCCAGACTCACTATCACAGACATGATTTGCTGCTGGAGTGATGCTGCTACCATTCTCAGCTGTCTGTCTCATCTCTCAGCTCAAGGCTGCCTCATCCCCAAATCTGCACAGTCATTTTTTTTCCAACTGCTGAGCTTAAACCCCAGCAAAGTATCATGAAATGGACTTGGTATCTAGCAGTGTCAAATTATGTGCTATGAACTGTGGAGCAAATAGATATCCGTTCATCTGTCCCTGCTCTTGGGAAAGAGGTATTTGCTGAGCTGTGGGTGACAGCTGAGGGTGGCAATTGTTTCAGTTGCTGCAGTGAAATCTACCTGTACTTACAGGTCAGAATCTTACGTCTTGAATTTCATTCTGCATCAAGAAAGAAGTTGACCACAAATTGGTTGTTTCAACTCTTTAGGATTCACCCACTCCCTGGATTATAAATCTCTTCACTTATTCTAAATTGGCTCTAAGTCCCAAACAAGTGAGGGACTACCTACCTAAAGGCAGGTAAACCAAGTAAACCAGTCTCTCCTATTCTAAAAGAATATCATGATATTCTCGTAGAATATCTCCATATGGTGGACTGATAATTCAGACAAAGAAATCTTTATTTGCTGCTTTACAAACAGTTACCCTGAACAGATCAACAGTTGCACTTTGTGCATAGTGCTGTGAAGTAAACATTGCTGAATGGATTATTCTGTTTGTATTAGAAAACATAAGGAGGGCTTAAGAACATTTTTCCAAAATGCAAACTAAAAAGAAAAAAGTGATAGACCAAAAAATGAAGATATACTTTACTTTCAGAGATGCTTCTCAGCAAAACAAAAAGTTGTTCAGGCTTTTCTTTCCCTCCTACCCCCACCTCTTATCATGCCTTCAGTGTCATGCCATCAGTATTCAGAGTTTTTCTATTCAGATAAAAAAATCAAAACCAAATCAAACCAAAAACAACCAAATGCCCAAAACCCAAACCTGAATTAATCTGTAGGAGAAAAGCCAGAATATCTAGTCAAAATATTTTGATAAATTATTGCTTTGTATAACAAAAGCAAGTACTCCTACCCCTACCTCTTATCATGCCTTCAGTGTCATCACGTATTCAGAGTTTTTCTATTCAGGTAAAAAAACCAAAACCAAATGCCCAAAACCCAAACCTGAATTAATCTGTAGGAGAAAAGCCAGAATATCTAGTCAAAATATTTTGATAAATTATTGCTTTGTATAACAAAAGCAAGTACTGAATTTGAACTATCAAACTTGCCTTCATGCTTCTGAAATTCCTCTTCTGTGAAATTAATGTCTTTGTGAGACAAGTTTGTCATTAGTTGTTTATTCTCCTCCTGCAGCTGTGCAATTTGGGTAAGAAGATCCTGTGCTTCTCCTCTCCAGACATCCTCCACCAGTTCTAATTCCTAAAGGGTAGACAAGGACAACACATTTATATTTTTAAACATGTTAAGAGTCTTTGACTGGACTATTTACAGATCAAACGAGTAACAATTCTACTATGATTCTTATAGAAAACAATTAAATAAGGCTACTTTGACTTTCTTAGAAGACATCTACTTTTCTAATGCCGGCATCAAGATCCAACTATCAGTATCTCCTTCTGCTATATGCCAAATGTAAATACATGAGGAGAAAATTCCCGATGCAAACATTTTTGACGTGCAAGTTACCCGAAGGATGGTTCCTTATGCCCCATTTTGCTGTGAAGACCAGATTAAGGGGACTGCTGTGTTAGACAAGATAACCAAACAACCAAGAGCAAGAATCACCCCCTGCATCCCAGGAAGCAGCCGCAAAGGGCGTTGCAAATGCCCCAGAAACATCACGCAGTGTGGGCCAGGGGACTAAGTGTTAGGCATGCTCATTTTGAAAAAGCAGCATCTCTAGTCTAAATTTCTGTTATGAAACACGAGTGTAAAATAATGAGCGCATGATACAGTGCAGCAAACCCAGAGCTCTCAGTCTGCATGATAAACACAAGACAAAATTGTGCTGCTTCTTACGTAAATTTTTATATATGGAGTGTTTTGAGTGGCATCTATGTTAGTGGCAGCAAGACCGGTCAAAACAACAACTCCCATTTGCAGGCCACTGTGTGTCAAGAGCAGCTGTCACCAATACCCGTAAAGGTCAGATTAGGACAAAAAGTAGAAAGTCCTCAAGGAAAAAACAGTTGTATTTAGAGCTTTACTTGTTTCAAAAGCCTTTGCCATAAATCGTACTTCTGCAGCGGGGGGCATTCTCTGCTCCATTTTCACCTATGTGCTTCAAACAAAAAAAGCTGCATGAAAATCACTGGAGCCAGGCTGAGTCACTTGCTGACTTTTACATTCATCCAGCATGGCCCTTTCCTACCTAACAACAAAACACATTCAGACAACAACCCCGCCAAGCACAGCTCTAGGCTAAAATAAGCTCTGCTGAGAGATTAAAGGACAGCTTTCTGCTTTGAATGTATGCTCTGATAATGAGAAATCATGTTGCTATTGACTTTCGGGCCCAAATGTCATTTTAGTGCAGCATTTATTAGTGTATTGCTGCCATTTTATAATGCTTGCTACAAGTTTTGCAGAAAACACTATATGATAGAGAATATAAGAAACATATAGGTGTTGTAAGCTATGCAGCCTTAATAATTAAGTAAAGAGAATTTCATTAATCACCTCTATTTTACTTGAAACTCTGTATCTTGAAAGACAAGCAAAACTGTAATGAAATTTATATTGCCAAATACCTTGACTATTTACAGTGATGCTGCTTATTACAACTCTGTAGCTAAAACAATGCGGTGACCTATTTTAGGTAGTAAACCAGCACATTCATCCCTTATAAGCATACTGACAAAACCAAAATAGAACACACACAAAAACCCAAACTATCTAAACATATCATTTATGTGTGGCTACACTGTAAACACACATCTATACTAAGGTTTGTGCAGGCAAACTTTTTTGTTTATTGTTATTGAAGAGCCCAATGAATTGGAGCAGAAATTCATTTCTGAACCCTCATTAGTAGAAGTGTCAGACGGAGAAGGCAGATCTATGGGCCAGTAGGCGCCAGCCAGCGCTGAGCCAGGTTTATAGGCAAAACAAATCTACCTGTAAAGTTTAAATGCTAAAATCTCATAAACTGATGCTTGCAAGGACCACTAAAAGCTTGTCTGGATGATTTTTTGGAGTCTTTTAGTTCACAACTATTACTCAGTCTCTGGCTTTTTCTGCTTACCGGTACCTGGCCTGTGAGAGAGTTAGTCTTCAAACCCTCAGACTGGAACACAGATGATGTGACACTACTGTTCTTATAGGGACTTGGTGCACTGGGAATCAACTTGATTGAAAAAATACGTATGTATCATGTACTTTATTTTCCCTGTTAAAATATATTTCCACCAAAGTTTCATCTGGATTGTCTAAACACTCCCTGAGCCATTTCATGACTATTAGAGACGCTGGCAAAGTAGAGATGGCTAACTGGCAGGGAAATCAGTTGACATCCGGCAAGCACAGTGTTATGCAGTTGACATGTTTAGGAAACTTTTTAACACATATGTGAACTTCAGAAGCATCTGCACAGCACTGCAACTTGTACAATGATACTAGGTATTGCTACCGGGCCCAGTTTAGTATCCACTTCACCATGCAGCATTTTGTAAACATCTCAGATAAAGAGTTACTGTTGACTGGCAATAGAGCGGTCTCTGTGAAATCAGTGCGGAGATCCGAGTTAACGGCAGTTCTTCCCAGAGGTGTCAGGCATTCAAGGGCTCAGGAAGAGCTACTTTGATTCTAGCAGGGGGCCCAGACACAGTATGGGACCAGCACAACAGACCACCCACTTGTCTCCAAGTTTGATCTGTTAGAAGGGCAAAGGCACAGGTTTGGTACATGTATCTGTTCTCTAGATCGTCTTACTTTGGACTATGGAGACTTATCAGGGCTTTATACATTGAAGATCTTCTACCATCCTTTTCAGAGGCACTGCCCTGAGGCCTCCTCTGCAAAATGTTGCAGGAATTATCCTGGATTTTCCATATGCTGAGCAAAAGTCCCCTAGCTGACTCTTTTTAAAACGTAAAACTTGAATTTATTTAAATTAAAGCCAGCTCTTGAAGTTTGAGGTCTCTCTTCCAGAAATTCCCTGTCTCCTCTTTATTCTGAATCTGTGTGTGCAAGCAGGAATAGCATAAGGCAGCAGTGATGATTTAGCACAGTCACTTACTAGAAGAACCATTTATTTAAATCAGTTATCTGGATGGTTTAAAGAGTAGATCTGCCAGTTTCACTGCAGTAAGTGGAGCTGCTCATACTGTCCTGCCACATGAAGGTAACAGGTTATGGGAGATGATCTCTGCCTTGGGCTCTCATGGGAATGGCATCAGGGAACACAATGACCACCCTAGATCAAGCCAAGGGACAACATCTTACCGTCAGAGGATGGAGCAGGAATCTAGGAGCATGCTCTTCCCTACGCCAGCTCTAACACTGCCCTGAAATCACTTGGTCCTCCATCTCCCTCCTATTACTTGCCTACCCGATGAGTGTGCCAGGAAAACTAGACTGCTAAGTCATTCACAGCTCTGGAGAGAAAAGTGTATTATTGTCAGTGACCTTTCCTGGCCCAGCAGGAAGCAGCACTATCCTCTGGCCAGGAGACGGGATAGAGCAGGAGTCCTAATCAGGGAGACCCAAGGGGAAGGAAACGCAGTGACTGGGGAAGGGGTGGAGAAAGGGAAGGAGGAAGGAAACTTCCAGGAGGGAAGGGGAAAAAAAAACCCAAACAAACCAACAACACACCCAAACCCTCAGCAACGCTAAGGCAGCATCCCCACGCAGAGCCCGCGATCCTGCCCGGGCCGTACTCACACGCGTGCCCCGCCCGCTCCCCACCAGCTCCGCAGCATCCCGGCCCGCATCCCGGCCCTCCCTCTTTGTTTTCCCCAGCGGCTGCGGCGGGAGGGAGAGCGTGG